ACCGTCTTACGACCTAGCACATTGTCAACCAAATTCCAAATTGGTTGTCATACATGGACTGAATCTCATTGTCCATGGCCCCTTTCCATTTCGCAAACTCTAGGTCTGCCATGGCTTCCTTGTAGCTATTAGGTTCATGCAAATTTATTAGTGTACTATCACTACTAAACATATCACCCTCACTTGTTATATGAAAACCATATAACACAGGCGGAACACTAACTCTACTGAAACGTATTAGAGGTAAGGATTCGTCAGTCGGTTCAACCGGAGTTTCCTCCTCGGGTTGAACTCCATTGTTAGAGGTTCCTTCATCGTTCGATTCTTGAATCTCTTCAAGATCGATTTTCCTCCTACTGTCTCCTTGGCTTATGTGTTCTCGCTCCCAGAAAACCCTCTCCTTGCAACGACGACATCATTGTCACTTGGTCTATAAAAGACATATCCAAAGGACTTCTACGGATAGCCGATTAAAATACACCGCTCACTACGAGGCTCGAGCTTTTCGTGAGTCTCTCGTCTTACGAAAGCCTCGCAACCGCAAACCTTGTTATGTGCCAATGAGGGAACTTATCCTGTGGCACATCTCGTGAGGTGTTTTGGCAACCTTCTTTGTAAGGACTAAGTTAAGGATATGTGCGACAGTCTCTAAGGCATACCCCCAGAATGAGATAGGTAGTGAAGCACGACTCTTCATGGAACGAACCATGTCTAGCAAGGTTTGATTACGCCTCTCAGCCACACCATTTAACTTTGGTGTCCTAGGTGGCGTCAATTGCGAAACGATTCCGCGTTCCATGAGGTAGTCATGGAATTCAAGACTAAGGTACTCTCCACCTAGATCGGATCGAAGCATCTTGATTTTCCTACCCAACTGATTCTCCACTTCTTGTTTAAGCTCTTTGAAATTTTCAAATGTTTCAGAATTGTGCTTGATCAAGTAGATATACCCATATCTGCTATGATCATCAGTGAAAGCCACATAGAAGCGACTCGCATCCCTTGTGGTGGATCTAAAGGGCCCACAGACATCGGTGTGTATGAGATCCAATAAACCCTAACCCCTTTCACAAGTACCAGTGAAGGGTGACTTGTTTATCTTTCGACCCAAACAAGACAAGCACACATCATCGTCCCTGAGGTCGAATGACTCAAACACTCCATCCTTTTGGAGTTGGGCTATGCATTTCTTGTTGACATGTCCAAGATGACAATGCCACAAGCATGCTTTGTCCAAACTATTGGAAGATTCAATATGCAATACATCATTCCCTAAGTTGTCTACAACCATCATAGTTTCATATATTCTATTATAGGGTAATGCTTCAAAATAGAAAACACCATTAAGATAAACATTAATAGAACCCTTTTCATTATCAAATGAATATCTAAATCCTTGTCTATACAAACCATGTAAAGAAATGATGTTTCTTGCCATTTCTGTCGAATAGAAACAATTATTCAAATCTAGTCCTAATCCATTACTAAGCACTAAAGAGTAAACTCCAATCTTGGTGACATGTGACTCTCTTCTGTTCCCCATGATCAAGTTTATCTACCCATGTTCCACATCCTTATTTCTTCATAGGCCCTACAAACCAGAACAAATGTGAAAACCACACCTTGTATCAAGAACACAAGAAATATCATGTGAAGAATCATTAGATTGAATAGTATAAATACCTACGAAGGATAGCTTGATCTTCCCATCCTTGATATCTTGTAGATACTTCGGGCAGCTTCGTTTCCAATGCCCCTTCTCATGGCAATAGTAGCACTTTGCATCCTTTGGGTTGGAGGTGGGTGCAGCGGGACTAGCCTTGGTTCCAATAGAAGAGGTACCATCATGGGACTTTCCCTTATGGTGGCTCTTTGAGGGAGCCTTCCTCTTCTTACCTTTCCCTTGCCTAATATCCAAGATTGGGGCAGCAGTAGGAGTAGGAATACGGATTTGTCTTTGAGGTTGCTCTCAATAGTCCTCAACAGCCCTTGAAGCTTGCTCAATGTGACCTCCTCTTTGTTCATGTGGTAGGTCATGCTAAACTTGTTGAATTAGGGTGGTAGTGAATAAAGAATGATGTCAATCGCCAGCTCTTCATCGAAGCTAACATTTAACTTCAGCAGGCGGTCGAAATACCTCTTCATTTTCTGCAAATGAGCGGTGACAGACTCTCCGTCCCTCATCTTGGTCGTGATCATTTGATTGATGATCTCATACCTCTCCTGCCTGGCACTTTGGTGTTACCTTTCAAGAAAATCCTGATGCATTTCGTAGGGATAGAAGTCCTCGTAGGACTTTTGGAGTTCGGCAGTCTTGGTTGCTAGCATGATGCAATGCACTTTCGTGGCATCACGCTCATGGGCCTTGAAGGCATCGATCTCCTCAGGAGTAACTGTGTTCACATCCACCTCTTTCAGCTCCATTTTGAGGACATACTCCTTGTCCTCGTAGCGGGTGACCATCCTTATGTTACGGATCCAATCGTTAAAATTGTTTCCATCGAAGATCACCCTCCCACACAAATTCATGAGTGAGAATGAGCCGAAGGTGTTTGAGCCTGAAGCGTTGTTGTTTGAGTTCGACATCTGAAAAGGATAAAGACAAAGTTGATTAGATAAGAATCCCCAATTAAAAACCCAAATGAGAAATTAGGGCTAGGATCCAACAATATTATTTTCAATTTAGAAGAGGGTTATCGTGATCAACAACAAATAATTTGAAGCTAAGTGAATGACGATTCACTAATTTCCACCATGAAAAACAAAAGCAATATAAGTTTTAAATGTATTGAAAACTCCCAGATCTTTTGAGATTCATTGAACTTTTCAATGCCATGTTTAAATCTCGATATACCCCTCAAGTTTGTGATTGGGATACCGAGGATCACAAACAGGGTGTGAATAACCATGCAAATATACATCGTTCCCCCAATGTTACAGTCACCTAATCAATGTGTAGGTTTGCCACACATGCTCCATTGATCTATAACAAACATCAAGTCACCCTTTGCCACCTTTGCAAAGACCCAAGTTAGTGTGCCTATTAACCACACACACTCCACTAATGTCTAGGCAAGGTACAAAGTGTAATTTCATGGAATAGCATCAAATTCACATTTTGCCTAAATTAACTAAGATTGGGAATTTTATAAAACATTTGGTTACTTTATAAATCATTATACTTTTAATGAGGAAAGAGATTCCCTATCCTACCCGTTCGGCTAACAACCCTCCACCAATCTAGGAAGCCGTAGGTGAGAGTGGACACCCATTAAACGACCATTTTATAGACCATAACCTTATACCCCCCCATTATAGATCAGCTTCGTGAATGAGACATACTAACGGTAAGACTAGCATTTATGTTATACGTGTATAATAATTATTCTTATAATATTATAATAGTAGAGGGTGGATTTGAAACTTGTAAAATTCCAAGGTTTGGAATTTGACAATTTCAAAATTAAACTTTTAATCCAAAAATTTAAATTCCAAAACTTGAGGGCAAGTTTTGAAAAATTTCAAAACTATCAAGATCAAAATTCAAATAAACAATTAAATTTGGTGATTATCTAATTTTGACCTAATCATTTTCATGCAAGATAATGATCAAATAATTCAAATAATTAATATTTATCAAATAATGTAATAATTATCTAATTAAATGACAAAATATTATTATTTTGACAATAGAGAACCCATAAAATTCGTATTTTATTAATTAGAAACAGATATGGTAATTATCCTAAGTCAAAAATAACAAAAATCCTGAAAATTTGTCTGTCTGACAGCCCGACTCGCTGAGCCCCTTACCGGACTCGCCGGGTTCATCCTACTCATTGAGTACCTCTTTGGGCTCGATGAATCTGTCAAGCAGATAACACAAAATTTGATTTTCAGTAATGAACAAATACACCATGCATCAAATACAATAGAAACCAAGCAAGGCTCTGATACCAATGATGGGTTTTGAGCAAAAGAACATCCTATGTGCACATGCAAAACCCTAAAGGTTTGGATCTAGGTTTCTCTATTGTACATGAAAATTTATCCAAAGCTTATAAACCCTAATCAAGCATACTATGAAATCGGGATCTATAACACAACAAGCTTGGATGATATCTTTCAATAGTTGCAAGAATCTTCAATCTTTAAGAAGCTTAGTGTCACAAGTGTAACAACTCTAATGGATCACAAACACCACAAGCAAGAAGATGAGCTATAAGTGAAGGGAATGGAGGCACAAAATCGGCTCAAGGATTCTCTGGAATAATTTGTAGCGGATTTTGGGTGCTCTAGGGGTCCTTAAATAGCTGAGCTGCTAGGGTTTCAATCAAAATCCTAATTGGATGACTTAGGCCCTAAGCAGCTTAAGAACCTTCTGAAATAAACCCCCTTGGATGAAATTAGAGTGGGCTTCCACTCTAAATTTCGTCCCCCTTATATCGATAAGGATTCACAGCCCAAACTCAATTATCTTATAATTGACAGTTTTAGTCCCTCTTATTTAATTAATCTCTTTCAGCCACATAATTAATTCTTGACCATATTAATTAAACTATATGATTTCTCTTTTAATTTATTATTCATGGAATATATTAATAAACCATAATAGCCTCTCTCTCTCTCTCCATAAATCATACTATCTAGTTGCTTTGGTGAAGGTCACCAAAAAGGACCATGCACAACGAGGTCAAGTACATACCAAATATAGTTACGGGATTAGACACTAATCCAACAATCTTCAGAAGAAAAGCTCAATCAGACAGATACCAAGGAATAATGTCTGAAACGCACTTGACATCTGCAACAGTGTTGGATGTATTCACTTCATCCCTTGAAAGAATAGAATTCAGAGCACTCGTGGAATACAAATTCTTATCTCTTAGATAGAAAATGCAATTCTTGATCACTTCTCCTTCCTTCATCTTGTACACAATGCTCCAGTGCTTCTTGTTAATGAGCCCTCCGTTCAGATGTTGGATATCTTCCGGTTGATCTTACGGCTTTAATATTAGTGTCTTTTTCATAACATAAGAAATTTCCGCTTCGATTTTCGCAATTTCAAGAATATAACACTTGATCAACCGCTTTAAGTTCTCATATATGGTCTCATACTTCTTCACATACTTCACAACAATGCTGAACAGTGAGATCCAATCGTAGGGATTCATGAATGGCAGATCAGCCAAGGTGAATTCGCTCAGAACATGATTGGCACCTCGGAACCCTTTGAGCTGTATATTCATAAATTCTTCTATTTGAACTGGCAAGCCAAAATTTAGTCCCACAATCCTTTTTAAACTCCACGACTCATATTGCAGTTTCACATATTTCAGATAGAACGAGAAGTGCATTTGATTTATAGCTTTGTTGGATGTAAAAAAATTTCAATCTTTTCAAAGCGTCTAAAAAGAAAGACACTTGGAATCATGGGAAAATCTAATTGACACTCTACGTCATTGTTGGTGTCGAAGGAGGTTGTTGGCTCCAACCAATAAAGATTAGGATCATCAATAGTTTCCTTTTGTATACAATCAACAGACCAGGTAGGAAAACAAGGATTTCTGATTTTCAAGAATAAGTTTTGAATTTTTTACATCAGATTGAGTTCATCAATCTCTTTATCTCATCCCTTTTCTTTCTTCTTTTTCTGATTTAGTCATCACTGAATTTTCTTTAGAATCCTCTTTAGAACCAACTTTGCCTTTGTCTTTTCTTGATCCAGAAGCTTCATTATCCTTCAGACCAGACTCCTTTTTTTCAACATTTCCTCCTCTTCCCCCTTTTTTCGAAGAAGCCCTACTACCTGAAACACCCTGGATCTGATTAATCAATGAGAACACATATTGGAGTTTTTTTGAGAGAGACTGACGCACTGAGTCAGTGAATGGAGCATTTCAGTTCTCAATGATTTGTAACAACCGTTGGTTGATTTTAGAACTACGAGCGTTAATAGAAAGTTTCTCTTCTTCAAGTTTGGCAATATGAGTTGAAGTATTCTTTAGCTTTTCATTAAGAACCTTCATTTTTTGCGTTTTCTCGGCCAGTGCATCCATAATCTTGTTCTCAGCAGCCAAGTCATTTTGTAACTTATTGATCTGTTGAGTGATTGATAAATTGAGATCATTATTGTTAAGCTTAATGTCTACTTGAAGTGTTGAGAGAACTTGTTTTTCAGCTTTCAAAGAAGATCGAAAACCTTTTATGAGTTTGTTCATGTCAGTTGTTTTCTTTTCAGAAGAGGTCTAGAAGTTAGCCATGAATTCTTTGACTTCTTGTTGTAGTTGTTGGACCTTTTCAACAGCTTCTGAGATTTTCTTTTCTGAAGCTTCAACAACCTTTGTAGATTCTTCAAGGACTTTGGCATTAGATGATGTAAGCATTTCCATAGTCTCTCGATGGGATGTGAGTAAACTTTCCATTTCCATAGTCTCTCGATGGGATGTGAGTAAACTTTCCCATTTTGTGGAAGAAAAGGCATGTGAATGCTCCATAATTGAATCAAGCTTTTCATTTAACTGCTTTAACCGACCTTTAGTCATCAGAGCATCGTCATCATCACTATTGAAATTAATAGAGAATGGCTGGAATACGAAATCATCAATCGATTCTTGATTATATATGAATAAGATCTCAGTATCATCATCAATAGGAGGAATCAAAGAGGAAGGATGATCTGAAGTCACACCAATGTTGGCATTTGGCCCCACATCAGATGTGTTTCCAGGGATGTCTGAAGTCCGAATCTCCTCTGAAATAGATTTTATAATCAAAAATTCTGGTGCAGTGGAAACAAATGATGGTGTTGGAATTATTGGTGAAGAAATTAGGATTAAGACCTGAGGAAGTGGAAATAGATGATGTTGTAGGAATTGTTGGTAAGAAATTGGGATTAAGACCTGAGGAAGTGATGTTTCAATAGAACTTATTTCTGGGAGAGGAGGGAAGGATGATACTGGAATAGATTAGGTGAGGGTTGAGGTTGACATTGGTAATGTTGGAGGATTGAATGGAGGTGATGGAGGTAGTGTGGTGAGGTTCAAAAATGGCTCTCAGATAATAGATTCAAAAATATCAGATGTAGGAATGGAGGATGATGGTGGAGAAGATACCTTTTGAATTGTTTCAACATGTGCTGTCTTAGAAGTATGAGCGGTATCGTCTTCTTCATTTCAAAGAATTGAAGTCCCCTGAATATCTGATTTGATCCTTTCTTCAGATTGTTCTTGAAGAATTGGAGATGGATACTGTGGGTTCTAAACTTAATTCTTTGTTTTCTTTGGTACTTTTATTGCTTCCGAAGGAGTTGTCTTGGCATTCCCTTTTCCACCTCATTTCAGTTTGTCCCCTTCATCAATAATCTTATGTAATTCTACTGAGATTGGACGAACACCAGAAGAGGGCATTTTCCGATAATACCTAATGATGGCATTATCCAATGTAACTTTCTCCAGTAATGCCTCCGGAATAGAACCGGCAAAATCAAATTTCGTGGGCATGACAAAAACAAATGTGGAAGTCTAGAGCATTGAAATTTCATCCATTAGTGAATCTTGGATTAGAGGAACCTTGAAGTGAATTAGGGATCTCTTAACAATAATCGAGCAGAAGCAGGGATAAGAAATTTATGTGTGTCGTGTAGAGGAACTGGTGCTTTGAACGAATTGAGCCCAAGTAACAGACCCATAGTTGAGGTTGATGCCATGGTATAACCCATAGATCTTGTTGTAGAACAACTGGCTTGCACTGTCAGAACCTGAAACCCTTTCTGACAAGCTTTTGAATAGAAGGGTGAATAATCCATTCCACATCGGAGGTAAGAAGGATTTCCTAAATTTTGAGAGTAATGAAATATCCCCATGTATCCCATCTGGAAGAACATCTCAATCAAGTAGGTTGCAGGAATTGATTCAGGATCGACACTGACTTCTGGCATAATAATCACTAGAAGTTTGCTGAAGTTGGGCTTTCTGATCAATGTTTTGTGATTGGAAACCTCAATGCTGATTACATCTTTAGTTTTGTTGTAGAGGTCAGTAGAGATAGCTTTGGAGAGATGAACAATCAGAACATCTTTAGACATTGTGAGAGCTTTCATTAATGGAGAGAATTTC